GGAGAGGGCAGAGCGGGGGGGGGCTACAGTGGCGGTTTCCTGAGCTGGTTTCTCCTCTCCCTTGCCAGGCTGATCGCTTTAGGAGGCTCTCTAGTAATGGACCGACTGTTCTTTGGCAAGGTGAGTCTAGGGGGTGGAGCGGCCCCCGGTCCCTTGGTGTGTGCCGGGGTGGGGGGCGCACGCCGCCTGGCCTGACTCGCGTTTCCCTCTTTCAGTGGGTCGTGGTTCAGCTGAACTTCTTGAAGTTCAACGTCCTGCACAACCTGGCCGCCTTCTATGGCTCCCACCCGTGGCACTGGTACCTCTCCCAGGGCTTGCCGGTGGTCCTGGGCCCCCACCTCCCCTTCTTCGTCCACGGCTGCCTTCAAGCCCCAAAGGGGCATCGCATCTTCCTGGCGGTGGTGCTCTGGACCGTGGCGGTTTACAGGTGTGCTTCCTGCCCCCGCAGGGCAGCTGGTCAGCGTTGAGGCTTCCCTGCCTGAGATGCCTTCTCCTGGCCAGTGTCTGGGGCAGGGGCTCCTTCAGTCATGGTTGCCTCCCCGCCCCCTCCCCTGCAGTGCCAAGTGACGGGCCTCCGTTCTTGTGCTGGCTCTCCCCGCTGGGCACGGAGGGCCACCCCCGCAGTCCCCTCCCAGCTGTCCCCAGAGCCGCAGGGGAAGAAGGGGAGCCACCCGGCCAGCCTGAGCAAGAGGCAGGGCAGCCAGTCCCTCATCCGCAGCAGAAGTGGAGCTCATCGCCCACCGAGTCGCTCCTTTGCCGCTGCCCTCCCTGGGGATTCCCTGGGGATCCCCCGGGGCCTCCTGGGGCAGGGAGGGGAGACGGCAGCCCGGCGGCAGCAGCAGCAGGGGGCCCTTGCCCGCAGCTCGCCTGAGAAGTGACTCCTCCGCCACTCCTCCCAGTGCCCCGTCTCCCCTCTCGTTCCAGCACCCTGAGCCACAAGGAGTTCCGGTTCCTCTACCCCGTGCTGCCGTTCTGCATGGTGTTTTGCGGTAAGCTCTCTGGCCGGGACATTTCCACAGCCCTCTTCGCCCTTGGCAGAGCTCTGGGCTTCAGGCAAAGGGGCTCAGCTCTTCAGGCGCTTTGTGAAGCAGCAGCCTCTTCCGCGGCCAGACGGGCAACGACCCAGCCGAAGGCTCAAGGCGGCTGTTGGGGCCCTTCCGTCATCGCCGTGCCGTGCAGCCAGGCTGGGACAAGGGAGGAGGGGACCCTCTGAGGCCGGGAGGGGCAGGCGAATCCCCCCCCCACCCGGAGAAAAGCCAGAAGCTTCCGAGGGGCACCTTGGCGGCGCGATGGTGGAGGTGCGTGCAACCCGCACCTCCTCCCTTGACTGGCCGCCCCTCTGCGCAGGACGGTCTCTTCGCCAGCTGAAACGGTGGCGGCGGCCCGCCTGCGCCTTCCTGCTGGTCGCCAACCTGCTGCCCGCGCTCTACACTGGGCTGGTGCATCAGCGCGGCACCCTCGACGCCATGGGCTACCTGCAAGGGCTGTGCCAGGCGGCCCCGGGCCCCGCCCCGCCCTCCCTCCTGCTGCTCATGCCCTGCCACTCCACGCCTCACTACAGGTGAGCCCTGTGGGGGTGGGGGGGCCCTGGCCCTCAGAGAGAGAGGCAGCACCATGGCTGGGGGGGGAGGGGACGGGGAGGCCGCCGACTGAGCCTTTGGCAGGATCCCGGAGCCACGCGGCAGCGAAGGACAAGTCGGGGGGCAGCGTCTGGCTCCCCCCCCTCCATGCTGTCTCTCAAGAGCCACTTTCCCCGGTGGCTCCAGGGAGGAGTTCCCTGACACAGCCTCGCTGCCCACCCACCTGGCCCTCTTCAGTGTGCTGGAGCAGGTAAGGGAACGGCAAGGGATCCACTCCCCCCCCCCTTTCCCTGGAGGCCTCTGGACTGAAGCCGGAAGGGTCACGGGGAGGAACTGATGCTTCCGGGAAGACGCACCGGGCAGCCCAGGGTCCGTCCCTCAGGTGGGTGGGTGGAGGTCAAGGAAGCCATGAGAGGCAGCAACCCCCCCTCCCCCCCACCCCCCCCCCGGAAGCAAAATGGCTGTGGTGCCCTGCACCTCCCTGGCCCCTCTCGTTTCCCTAGGCAGATGCAAGGTCTACGAATGCTCTCCTTCCTGTGTTTCCCCTCCCAGGACATTTCCTCCTTCCTGGCTGGTCATGGCTACAGCAGAGCCGCCACGTTCTTCCACACCCACCTCCCTCAGGGCCGGACCGGAAGCCACGTTTATGTCTACGAAAGGACTCAAAGGCGTCTCCGGAGGCGGCCTGAGGCCAGCTGACATCCCAAGCTCCGTGGGAGGGAGGGAGGGAAGCCGGGGAGAGCTCCGCCTCGCTGGCCGGCTCCGGGAAAGCTTCACCCACCCACATGTGGGGGGTGGCCCACCGCTTCTTGCATCCCCTCAGCTGTTCTACAGCAAGTTTCCAAGCAGATGGCAGGACCGCTTTCGATATCCATTTTTTAAATAAAAAGCCCACCGTCTTTTCACCAACCACGTCTTTTATTGTTTTCCTTCTACTCTTTGCAAATGTGCAGGAAATTTCAAATGCAAGTTAGGAGGCTGATCAGAAAGCACAGCAGCGCGCACACACACACCCCACCGCAACACAGGAACAAAGACACAATTATGAGACCAAAATGAGATGAATTTCACAGACCACCCGATTACTTGGACATCAGGCCTGAATCAAGGCTGTGTTCTAGCATCCACAAGTAAGCTTGTTTTCCACACACACCCACACAGGAGCGACTGCGTACCCTGATTTATTGCAATTGTAGAAACGCAACCAAATTAAGATTTCCCAAGGGGGCAGTGAGGCCAGGGCAGAGAGAGGGAGAGGGAGAGACGGAGAAGCCCAGCTGGTCCTTGGGGGAGAAGAGAGTCACGGGGGAGGCCAAGCCGCCCCCCCCCCACCCCAAGCACGGGCGCCTGCCTGTCCACGCTGTCCTCGGCAGGCCGCACTTGGCCACACAGCCACAGCGTCAGTACTTGGGGTCCAAGGGCAGCTGGCCCCACTCAATCTCCACGTTTGCCACGTGCCGGCCATTGGCGCGCCCCTGCTTGTGCCACTTGCCTTCTCTTTCCTTTCTGTGGCGCTGCTGGTACTTCGGGGAGGGCCTTTCCTGGTGCTGGGCGGAAGAAGCCCTCCTCGGCGGCTGCCTGGAAGGAAAGAACAGCGGCGCAGTCAGGACTGTTCGTGGCACCCGGACCTCCCCCGTCGACGGAAGGCAAGCTGGCTGGCTGGCTGGGGCGGAGGGAGAGCTCCCCCGGGGCCTCGGAAGCCGCCTGTCCTCCATCGGCTCCCTTGACGGCCAAGTGTGTCCGGCTCACCCAAACAGCACTGCCCCTTCCTGACAGAGGAGCTGTAAGGATCAGAACTTACAGAGCTCGCGGCTTTCATTACGTGTGATCAAGCTGTACGTTTTCACAGGTTAGTTGCAGCCTGCTTGGGCCGAGCGTTAATTAAAAGCACCTGGTGGCCTTGACCGGCTGGCACAAGATGCTTTTATCTCGTTGACAGCGAAGGAGAGAGATTAACTACGCCCTGACTGGCTGAAAGGGGCGACCTAACGGGGCCGGCAGCCATACCAGGGACACAGAGCGTGAAGCCTCTACGACTACTCCAGTGGGGTGGATTCTCCTTTGTAAGCCTTTGGGTGAGAGAGCCCGGTCACAAGATTACCCCAGTGAAGGAAGCTCAGCCTCCGCCCAGTGCAAGTACAGGGTTCTTCCTGGGGGGTTTGCCATTGTCGTAATCTGTGAGTGGTTTCTGCCAAGCAATTCTCTTTATTATTTGAAGGATTCGAATAAATGCAGAGGTATTTTTTAATCTGCTGTATTAGGAGTATCTGCTGAACATCTGCTTACCTCCTCAAGGGGGGAACCCAGAAGCAAAAAGCCTCAACCAAGGACCAGGCCCTGGTGAGAGCCCCCAGGTGGCTCCTGAGAACAGGAGCGGGGCGGTCCTTGGCCCAGGCAGGAGCCTACGGCTGACGGGCTGCCCTCAGACCCTCGTCAACAATGGAGCCCGGGGGCGGGGGGAAGGGCCACATGAGAGATCTCCAGCCTGCCCTGCCCAGATCCGCTCACATCCTCGCCGAGGGCGACCGGAACAGCCCCAGGATCGGAACCCCTCCCCCCAGCTGGCTCGTGGGGGGGGGGCGCGTGCGGGGCTAGACGGGAGGAGGCCCACACCCCCAGTCTTACAAGGCCTGCGTGCCCCACCTGTAACACCCACCTGGGCCCCTGCTGGGGGGGGTGGTCGTGGCGGAAGTAGTAGGTGTAGATGTAACTGTCCACGTCCTCAAAGGCCTTCCTCTCCCTGTCCCGCCGGTACTCCTTCATGTCTTCCAGATAATCCTTGACGTCGCTGACAAAGTCCGTGAAGAGCATCTGGTCGTGGATGAAGACACCATTGTGGAAAAACTGACTGACGAAGCCGTCCAGTTCCCTCCAGTGATGGAAGTTGTCCACCTCTTGCTGCAGGTATTTGCGCATGAGCTGATGAAACTCATCCGCACGGATGGGATCCAGGACTCGGTCGAACAGGCTCAGGAACTCCTGGTGAGCACAGTCAAAAATGCCCGCACAGCCCTTGAGGACGGCATGGGGCTTCCTGCCACGCTCTGGCGAGGCCGGCTCCCGGGGCCCCCGAGGGGGGCGGCCCTCCTTGGCCCCCCTCCCCTCTCGGGACTCTCTCTGGCCGCCGGGGGCCCGGTAGGGCATCGGCTTGTGGGCCCCCGATTTCCCTTTGGGGGGCCCCTCCCCCCCGGGTCGCCTCTTCTCCCCCCCCTCCTCAAAGATGTCTCTCGTAGTGTCCTTGAAGTGCCGGAAGGTGGACTTGACGGAATCGGAGAATTTCCTCAAGTTCTCCTTGACGGCTTCTTTGGCCTGCTTAATCTTTTCCTTGTGGTGCCTTACAAACTCCTTGGTCGAATTCTTCATGGCGTCAAACGTCTCCTTCACCGACCCAAAGAAGCCGGCCTTGGCCTTCTTCCTGGCTTTGCCGGCTCCCTTCCCGCCCGGCTTCCCCGCCCGCTCCCGCTGCCTCTCCTCCGCGTGGCCCTTGACTTCCACGTACAGCTTCTCCCACAGGTCGGAGCGCTGCTGCTCGAAGCTCAGCTTCTTCTCCAGCTCCTCCAGCCGCCCCCGCAGCGCCTCGATCCCCCGGCTCTCTTCCGGCGGGCCTCCCACCGCGGGCGGAGCCTGCTGGGAGCTCAGCCGGTCCAGCTCCTCCCGGAGGGTCGCCGTCAGCTGCCGCTCCTTGTCCAGCTCTCGCCGCAGCATCTGGGCCTCGGTGAACAAGGCCTTCTTCTGCTGCATGAAGCCCTGCCGCCGGTGCTTCTCCTCCTCCAGCTTCTGGCTCTCGGCCGCCTCCTTCCGGTTCTCCAGGTGCCTGATCTGCTCCCGCAGCTTCCGCAGCTCCTCCTGCAGCACGGCCAAGGCCTGCTCCTCCCTCTCGAGCGATTCTCGCAGGTGCTGGTTTTCGGAAGCAAGGCTCCATTGCTGAGACTCAAAGGACTTCTTCTCCATCTCCGTTGAAAGCAGGCACGTCGCCAGACCTTCCTTCAGCAACTGAGCAGAGACAGGAGAGGGAGCAGACAGGACGTTGAGAGAGAAACCGACACAGCAGCAGCGCAGGACTGTCCAACCTGGAGCCACACAGCTTCAGACCCTCTCCCCTGCTATGTCCCCTGAAGAGTGTTACACTCTACAGCAGGGGTGTCGAACTGATTTGTTATGAGGGCCAGGCCATGTGCGTCATGAAATGTAATGCCAGGTAGCGGAGATATAAACTTTATAAAAGACACAAACACAAAGGGTTTTTTTTTTACTTAAAATAAGAACATGCTTAAATCATCAGCACTCTTGCAATATTTTGTTTGTTTCACAGTGTCTGATAACTGACACCTCTTGCTCTGAATTATTGTGTCAAAATGTCTGTGCTGTTGCAATCTTGAGTATGCTGTTCAGGTGTGTATCTGTAAGCTGCAAACCTACGATGACGCAGCAGCAGAACTGGAAGCAAAAGCAGAAGACAGCCAGTTCCACTGCGGGCCTGACGGAAGCCCTCCGGGGGGGGCCTGGTCTGGCCCCTGGGCCGCGTGTTTGACACCCCTGCTCTAGGGAGAACAATCTACCGGTGATCCCCAGCCCAAGAGAAGTCCGGCTGTCCTCGACCAGAGCCAGGGGCCTTTTCTGCCGTGGCTCCCGCCTGGTGGAACTCTCTGCTGAATAACACCCCTGCCCTGCAGGACTTGATGCCGCTCCACAGGGCTTGCAAGGCAGAGACGTCCCACCAGGCGTTTGGCTGAGGGCAGCCACGGGCCCCGTCCTAATGACACTCCCCCCCCCCATCGCCATCTGAGAATGTCTTTGTGCTATTTAAATGGTTTTCCTATTCATGAATGCCTTTGCCGTTGTGTTGTCCACTGCCCTGAGCCTTGTGTTTCCAGGGGAGGGCCGTTTATACATTCAAATTAGAGCCATAAACAAATAACACGAGGAGCGACCGTCGCTCAGGGGCAGGACCCCGGGCCTCCTTCACAAGGGCTTCGGCCTTCGCCGGACTCCGCTGCCCCGGCCGAGGCCCCGAATGAGCCCCGCCTGGCCTGGAAGCCCCTTGCCCACCTGCACGCCCCAGGGCAGGGCCAGAAGAATCCCGGGACAGGCAAGGACGGCACCCCTCACTCACCTGACACTCGCCCCCTGGCTCCGGGCCCGGCCGGCACTGGAGGGGGTGGTCCTTCACGCCGTCCAGTTCCTCTTCGTGCGTCTTCTCAACCATCAGCTGGCGATTCTGGACCTGAATCGTACCTTGAAAGAGAAAAGTCTCTCTTTTATCTGACAAGAGAAGTGGGAAAGAAGGCAGCTCCATCAGCAGGGAAGGGGGGGGGTCTGTTTCCCAGAGGTCAGCGCAGGGGGACCCCCCCTCCCCCGCACAGCTGGCGTTGGTCCCGGGCAGGAGCGATCGAGGGATACGGATGCTCTGCGGACTCCAGGCAGGCAACCAAGACCGTGATTTGGCTTCTGAACACACCGCTAGGTGGGAAAAGACCAACAGCACAGACCCCCACCCTGTTCAACTACACACATGCGCCACCACGTGCATTCGGAAGACGGCAAAATCACAGCTCCAGTAATCATCCTTGGCAGTAGCGGGACCAGCATGGGCGAGACACCCCCCACCCCACCCCACCCCTGGGAAACGGCACACGCGTTTCTTTTAATGCAAGGCTGAGCGAGTCAGTCAAGCCAGTGCAATCAGCAAGAACGGGAACTTCACTAGAAGCAAGCTGCGTGCATTGATGGGTTCCAGGGTGCTCTTCACACCTCCTGGGAACCGCCAGAACGGCACACTCCTGTCCGGCACACCCAGCGCACAGGACCGGCCCCCTTGCGGAGGAGCCCAGATGGCCGCAGGGACCGCAGGGCACGCTGCGGCACCAGGCGGTCTCCACGAGCATCATCGCCAGGCCACGAGGGCTG